GTCACAAGTCACAACGCATGATTGTTTATTTAATCACATATTTTCAAATTTATTAGTCACATGTTAATTTTTAATCATAAATTGTCGAATTTTTAAGGTCACGGTTAATCTAAATAGTTGGTCACATACACCACAACCATCGCCACGGCACAACACCTCTATCTCCACTGCCACCAATCACCGCCACCACCACCATTTTCAGCAACAAATCAAATCCAAATTAGATTCCGCCACCATCTAAAATTGCGTAGCCAACCGTCGGTACCCTACTCAACCACTACATCCAATGATGAATTCCACAAATCGTTCTACCAAGCGCTGTCCACCCACACGCACCTCCAGCAATCGTTACCACCACAAAATCGCACCCCTGCCACCGCCATATCGCTTGCCACCACAAAACTCACCTCCACCTCCAGATCCACCATCGCTATTAGACCCACCACCATCGCCAATAACCACACAAAACACACCTGAAACCTAAGAAGATAGGAGAATGAAGAAACCACTCCCCAAACCCCAAAAACACCCACAATCCTCGTAACGACGAAGAGAGAGAGGATAGCAGCGAGAGAAAGGTGTCTCACAGCAACGCCGTGAACCCCGCTTCCATTTTCAGATCCACCGTCCCCAAAACCACGACGCTCGTCACTTCTGTGATGACACCGTCAATAGGGAGAAAGTGACGCTGCCATTAGAGAGACGCCATAGAAAGGTGGTGACTGTTTAGTAGAGGCAGGGATAACGAAGAGAGTGGAGGTAGAGAGACGGCAAGTTACTGCAGTGGCCGTGCGACGCACAGCAGTAGATCGCTGCGCTTCTGCTCCGCTCTCCTTGCCGCCACTGAATGACTGGTGGTGCCGGATCAGGGGGTGGGTGCGGTGAAGAGAGAAAGACGAAGATGGAGAGGAGGTAGGCTGGTTGTGGAGAGAATGAGGAAAAAGACGGTTTGGGGAAAATTAATTAAGGTTGAGTTGAAAATTGTATAATTAATATTTAATTAAATATAAAATATCTTATTTTTGAAAATTGAAACTTGTGAACTGATTTTGGAAAATGGATCTTGAAAAGAAGGGTTTTCTGTAATTTCCTCTTAATTAAATCTGGTCCATGAATTAATTAATCCAATTAATTAATTATTCAACACTTGTCAATTAATTAATTAGTAAATCTCATTCTTCTGGTTCTCTTTTGTGTGTGACTCATTAGGTTCCCGATCACGATGCCTAACAACGTGAATTATTATTTTGATGTAATCAAAATCAATAAATTAAAATGCTACTTTTAATTTATCACCAATTCGCATACGTCGCCCCAGATTGACATCTAGCATGTGTCAAGGCAATACATGTGACGAAAAATGTCACGTAGTATGAAAAAACCAAACTTATTCATTTACCGTGAAGCTATAATCATTTCGTCAATATGATCCGATCAATTATGAGATATGGATAGGTATTAATCTCAATTATCAATCATATCTTTTATTCCACTGTTAAGTCAATGTAAGTCAAAAATTCCTTTTCGACTTATGAGTTCACATTGACCAAGAATTTCATTATCAATTTAATTGGATAAAATGTAGATCACAATCTCTTACTATCTAAGAGTGGCGAATCCTCTATTGATCATTTACAGCCTTCATATGATTCTTGACATACCCGAACGATGCTGTATTAGCGACCCTTGACAAAACAACATCCAACATCACCAAAGTCTGTCCTCATATAAGGCACTATAATGACCTCAAATCAAAGGACCAATTTCATTATCGAAAATTAGAGATTAACCACTAACACTCAGATAGTTATCCATGTGGAATCTCCCAGCGGGTCCCCAATATTTTGTTCTATAACAAAACATTCACGTGTTCATTCAAGTGTCACCACTCTTTAACTTGTGAGATCAACTACTTACTTCACAAGTAAGAATGCCACACGCGATGATCTATCCGTAATAACGGTATCCGTATCTCATTATTATTTTGACTATGGACGATTTAAGATTCGATCATATGTAATTTGTATCTCACAATCACAACTCTTTGTGATTAACAAATCACCAAGACTTGAATCTACAGATTCTATTATTTAATTTATTAGAATTTTAATTTAATTAAATAATAGACATTGTCATACATATGCATCGATTATATATATTGAAAGTGTTTATGTCCAAAGTTAATTGGATTTAGAGAATAACACTTACAGACTCAACATGCTTTAGAAGAAATTGTGAAAATTTTGATATATCTTATAGCAAGAAAGCCTGTTATAGATGTATATATTGAGTCTTATTAACAGATAATTAATGGAGAGTCCAATAGAAATTTATGCTAGAGATTTACATTGGAATAGCAGTTGATGACTAAGCAACATATTGTTAATCAATCAATCGTAGAAGATAAGTTCGTATGTATTCCATTTGGGACACAGTTTGGAAATGAGTAGTTGTCCAATTTGATTCAAGAATCGCAATGCAACTATACAAAATTAGAACAAGTTAATTATAAATGTAGTAAAATTACCTACCCTACATCGAAGAATTTATAATTTATATACAATATTCACTTTAAATATTTCATTTTTTACTCTCCCACCTCCTCGCATTGCCCCTTAGCAGTTGCATAAGATTTTTTAAAGATAAATTACTTATTTTGAAAGTGAAGTTCATCCACAAAATTTATTAATTTATCATCTCTTGTAAGGTATGTTTTTTCATAACACGCATTCATTCTTGTTCTTTATTGCATATTAAATCACGTCTAATGGCTCCACTAGAATTTTTTGTTTCATACCAATTAGTAGACGAGTATTTAGAGAAGACGTTGACAATTCCATAGATTCTCTACTTAGGTTATCAATACGTTAGAAATTTCAACCCAACTACGAGTGATGAAAATTTCATAAAGATTCCTTTTGTCAAAGATAGGTCATGACATCCAATTATTTAGCAAATGGAATTGTCAAAGTGAGGGTTAATTACATGATTGGTCACCGAACCTTACATAAGATTTTTAGGAGATCACTGAATTTCAAAAATTTTCCCATTAATCACTGAACTTTACTAATGTAATCTCATACATCATTGAGAACTTCAAAAGTTTTTCCTTACTTATTGAATTTTACAAAATGTAATCATATCTATCACTCAATAACAAACGGGGAAATTTTTGTAAAGTTTAGTGACTAACGGGGAAATTTTTGAAATTCAGTGATCCCTTAGAAACCTTATGCAAAACTCAATGACCGATCAAGTAATTAACCAATCTTTATGTTTTTTTAGTCTTTTTCTTTATTTTTTTGTGTACTCATATCTTACAATTTCATTATCTATAGTATCGCCAAACTTAGAAAAAAGAATAGCCTTTTATCCCAAAAATAATCGACAAAGTTGTCTTCTAACCTCTCAAAGATCAAATAGGCAATAAAGGACAATCTTATGAGCTGTTTCAATTTCAATCATCTTTCATTAGGACACACCTAAATAAAAATCAAGAATCTATTAGCTAAAGATATGTATGAATTTCACAGTTGAATACTATGAAGTGCTCAATGCTGAAGAGGTCCTCTTCCAAAATAGTTGATTGCATGGACCACTGTTGTCTTTTTATCTTACTAGAGGTGAGCAGATAACCTGGTCGATTACCTTCAGGACAAGGACTATTTTTTCAAAGTATGACGATGTTATAGGGAATAAAATTGTGGGGGTAGGAGTATAGAAAAAAAAAAGACTCAAAAAAAATTGATAAATTATTTGATTGGTCACTAAACTTTTTATAAGGTTTCGAAGAGGTCACTGAATTTCAAAAGTTTTCCCGTTAGTCACTAAATATTACAAATGTAATCACATCCATAAGTGAGAATTTCAAAAGTTTCATTGTTAGTCATTGAACTTTATAAAATGTAATCTTTCTATCACTCAGTGACTAATGAAGAAATTTTTGTAAAGTTCAGTGACTACCGGAGAAATTTTTGAAATTTAA